TTGCCTGCCCCAGGGTAGGGGAAGTACTCACACCTATGGGTACTTCCCAGTATTTACCCACCTATGGGTAATCCCAGCAGTACTAAAACCCATAATCCCAGCCTTGGATCATACATAATCCCAGGGGATCATGAGTTAACACAAACTCTAGAAGTCCTCACCCCATGACTGCATGAGGCTTTGGGGGAACAACTAGACACAAACCATAACACGTAGCCAGAGAGATAACTCAGTAGAATAAGCGCTGAGTTCAATCCCCAGTTCTGCAAATAAATAAATAAATGAATGAATGATTTATTTGGTACAAGGTCCTGCTATGCAGCTCGGACTCATAGTGATCCTCCTGTCGCAGCCTTCCCAGCACTGGTATCACAGGCGTGCGCCACCACACCCGGTTTCAGGGCCAACAGGGCATGCAGTACTGGGGACAGCATGGGTAGCGGTGATAGAACCCATATCCTTGCCTTTGCAAGGCAGCCACTTAGACCGCTGAACTATCTCCCCAGCCCCAATTCTCCTCTTTAGCCTGCTTTGTAGCTGGAATTAGAAGAATGTGTCATCACACCTGGAAAAATTTTATTCTCTTTCAAGGTTGAATAAAACATAGATCTAGACTTTGTTTATCCTTCAAAGGACACTAGATTGCTTCCACCTTTTATTTATTGAAAATAATACAATGGCGATTGAGACTGGGCAGGGCCGGCCAAATAGCTCAGCGGATTAAAGCTCCTGCAGGCAGGCGCGGGGGCCGGGGTTCAATCCTCGATCTACTTCTGGTCCTCCTGGACTGCCCGGGAAAAGATTTCAACAAGCTTCAACTTTCCCCGCCACAAGCTGCCACTGAGCGAATCAAGCCCACGCGCAGGCGCGTTCCAACAGTTGGGTCGCTCGCCGGCGCCGGCGGAGTCCGCCCCTATCCCGTCAGCCCGGGCTGATAGGTCCCGCTCCTCCCGCCGCCGGTCCTCTCGCCTCCTCTATCCCGTCCTGCTCTGCGGCGCAGGGGCAAGATGGCTGCCGAGAAGCAGGTCCCGGGTGGCGGCGGCAGCGGCGGCGGCGGCGGCGGCGGTAGCAGTAGCGGTAACAGTGGTGGAGGCGGTGGACGTGGTGCCGGAGGAGAGGAAAATAAAGAAAACGAACGCCCTTCAGCCGGGCCGAAGGCAAACAAAGAATTCGGGGATAGCCTGAGTTTGGAGAGTATCCTGGAGTTATGGCCTGACTCGCAATGACTACGTGTCGATCTGGAGGGCTGGGGGCGGGAGAGGCGGCGGGTACTGGCACGTCCTGGGCCGGAGCTGAGGCTTGTAGTTTCTCCTACCTTTAGTTTTGGGCACTCAAAGGTCCAGGGGTCTGTCCCTCGATCGGTCTTTTCTTCGCATTCCCCTTGCCCTCCAGATTTTCTTCCAGGTGGCATGGGGACACCAGGCAGGTTGCTCCTGCCCCGGTGTGGATTGTTCATTTGGAAGGTTCGTGTCAGCGTTGACACCCTGGCCATCCGGCTGAGCTCCTTCCTCGGTGCCTCAGCCACTCGATGGGGCGAGGAAAATGCAGCCTTAACGTTTTAGCTAAGTACTCTTGTCTGACAGCTGTCTTGGACAGGCCAGTAAAAAATGGAGAGCCTGATTCTTTAGAAGCGGAGGTGCAAGTTGTCTTGAGGAAAAGCTGCTTGTCCGATTTGATTGTAACTTATTGTAGCTTGTTAATATCATCTGTATAGTTTTTTTTTTTTTTTTTTTAAATCAGTAGGCATTTTCTTTTGTTGCAGGCTTTGGAGGAATTAGTTTGTAGTTTTCATCAGTTTATATTTCAGTTGTGTGCTTGTGACACAGATTGTGTGGCTTTTTTTTTAAATTTTATTTATTTATTTGTGTGTGTGTGTGTGTGTGTGTGTG